ATATTAGAAAATATTAATATTTTGTGGAAAAATAAAAAAATAAATTCTTTGAATTGATATGAGATTCATGAAACTTATGCTTTTAATATAATACATATTATTTAATATTTTATTTGGCATATACTGTAATATTAGAAAATATTAATATTTTGTGGAAAAATAAAAAAATAAATTCTTTGAATTGATATGAGATTCATGAAACTTATGCTTTTAATATAATACATATTATTTGTTAGCATCACTATAAGCTTGTTGATTTATATATACACACAAAATATTATATATACTGCTATTAAATTTTTGTGACTAAAACATAAGCAGAATATTCTTAATATAATAAATATTTATTATATTAAGAATATTCTTGAATAACATAATACTCGAGGGATTATACACAGAGTGTAATGACATTTGGTTTATGTTTTTATCAAATACTAATCAAATGTCTGGAGAAACAAAAGATTTTCATAAAAACAAGATTTTCCAGACACTGTAAATATTAAGTATAATAATTATGCTAATTATTTGAATATTTGCTAAGAATTATGTAAGAATATTATATACACACCTAAACAACAAGTGCGTTAATGTTTAATATGTCCTTGGATACTTATCATAACTACTACACGTGTTATATTTAACTCAGGAATATAATTATAATATTAAAATGGAGTTTATCATGCAATAGATTAATTAAATATTTATAACTACAGGGTAAATACATTTGTAAAAATCAATTTTAGTTTCTGTCAATTGACATTAGGCTTATTACGTACTAAAAAATACATTTAATTTTAAAACTTACCCGTGTGCATTAATAACTTATAAATTATTTTCATTGTTGAAATACTTTTTAAACTATGCGTTAGTTTTGATTGCATTTTGTATCACACGGTACAGTAGGTGTCAATAGTTTTGCTCTCAATACAAGGACTTTATTTATTTTATAATTTATTTACCTTAACACTACATTGAATACCATGCATACATCTAAATAGCATTATTATGTCTTAATATATAAAAATCATAACATTTAACATGAATTTTGTGACCGAAAACCTCTATCCCTGACGTGCTATTGGATTACAAATAAAAGGATTCTGGGATGACAGGGTTCATTCATTAAATAAGTACACAAAATTATACCCTACACTGACTCCTGTTACTACTTAATTCTTTGTAGTATAATATTACGACATACACAATGACTGAGTCTACACCGTGTACATAAGTGTACGTACATATTGAATGACTCCTGATTTAATGTAGCACAGTGTATATAAATTAGAAATTGTATATAATTTTGCTTGATGTTTACTGTACGGCACATTTTACACTCTCATTAACGTAGAGATCAAACAATGGTTTTATATATTTCTAACAGATATTATGTAATAATAAAATAAATTATTATATGTATACAGAATCTGCTAGTGCATTATATAATCAAAAGGCTCATTATTATTTAAGACCTTTTTTGTGTGTGTTACATTAGTGTACATAATAGCAATACAACATTAGGGTCAATTACGTGCACCGTGAGTTTGTTAATTAATTCCCATAGGAGCATGGTGCTGGGAATAAATTGTTTATTTCGCTAAATAGATACCATGCATACATCTAAATAGCATTATTATGTCTTAATATATAAAAATCATAACATTTAACATGAATTTTGTGACCGAAAACCTCTATCCCTGACGTGCTATTGGATTACAAATAAAAGGATTCTGTGATGAGGGGGGTCATTCATTAAATACATACACAAAATTATACCCTACACTGACTCCTGTTACTACTTAATTCTTTGTAGTATAATATTACGACATAAACAATGACCGAGTCTACACAGTGTACATAAGCGTACGTACATATTGAATGACCCCTGATTTAATGTAACACAGTGTACATAAATTAGAAATTGTATATAATTTTGCCCGGTGTTTACCGTACAGCACATTTTACACTCTCATTAACGTAGAGATCAAACAATGGTTTTATATATATTTCTAACATATTATGTAATAATAAAATAAATTATTTTATGTATACAGAATCTGATAGTGCGTTATATAATCATAAGGCTCATTATTATTTAAGACCTTTGTGTGTGTGTGTTACATTAGTGTACATAATAGCAATACAACATTAGGGTCAATTACGTGCACCGTGAGTTTGTTAATTAATTCCCATAGGAGCATGGTGCTGGGAATAAATTGTTTATTTCGCTAAATAGCTATAAAAGTTAGATAAAGTTCAACAAAATATAAAAAACAGTTACTGTATCCAGTGGGGTGCGATAATTGAGCTGTTAATTAAAATTAATTTAGCTAGTTGCTATTGCTACAGTAATAAGTTTTTAGTTAGAATAACTTAGAATAGGTTCTAAAATAGCTATTCATTAATGTTTGTAAATTGACTATATCCTATTACTAATTAAATGCATAGCTAATTACTCGTTTACTGATTTTAAATTAAATTGTTATTAAAGATTAATGTCATTAAAATAATTGATCAAGATAATAATAATAATAACTAGGTTAACTGAACTATTATTAATATTATAAACAAATATATTTTACAAAAATATTCTGTGGAATAAAAAAAATTGCTGGCATATACTTTATTAATGTAAGGGAACGGTATGTGTAAATAAAGGTTCTACCCCAAAAAGACCTAAACTCAAATAACTATCTGACCAGTGGACATATTTTAAAATTGATCAGTGGAATATGGGTGTCTTAATCTAACCTAACCTAACCTAAATTAAATCAAATGTCCATTGGCCAGTTAGTTATTTGAATTTAAGTATTTTTGGTATAAGGTCTTTTAGGTGAGTCCCGTAAATAAATCAATATTTTGTTTCCGTTTATTTCATTGGCTATACATTTGAGTGAATTACTATATTTGAGTTTATGAACAGCACGTGTAGTCTATGTATAGGTGAAATTTAATATTTTCCATGTTACAAATATAGAGCAGGTCAATTTACACCACGCTAACTATTTATATCAGGCAATATAATTAAATTTAATTTGTATTTGAATTTATAACAAAATAATTAATTAATTTCATTTTTAATTGAAAATGTGACAAGAAATAAACAATTTAAAAAGTATTATGTTCTCAGATTAATTACCTAGATGTCAATATCATAAGTACTTAAGTAATAGGAAATTTTAGGGAAAAGTAATCCAGTAATATATGATAATTAAATTAAGCAAGCATTAAAACTCATATTTACATTGAATTTAAGTAATGATTTGAATATCAATTGAATTCTGTGTTGAAATCCATGTAAAGATGTTTTGTTATCTATTCACCAGAATTACAGAATCGCATACAAAAGTGTTTGCATTTAAAAAGTAAACAATATTTTTAAATTTAAATTTTATTTTTCACTATTATTTGTACTGTTACTGCCTATTTCATAGTGTGCTACCTAACTAAGTAACTAAAGGTTATTTGAGTAAGGGATTATTATTTTTTAAATATTTATTTTAAAAGCATATTAAAGTATTTTGTTTAAATTTTATTTTTAACTATTATTTGAAATAGCCTAGTACATTGTGTGCGAAATAACTAAAAGTTATTTGAACAAGGGATTATAATTTTTAAAATATTTATATTAAAAGCATATTAAAGTATTTTTTAATTTTATTTTTAACTATTATTTGAAATAACCTAGTACATTGTGTGCTAAATAACTAAAAGTTACTTGAACAAGGGATTATTATTTTTAAAATATTTATTTTAAAAGCATACTAAAGTATTTTTTAATTTTATTTTTAACTATTATTTGAAATAGCCTTTTACATTGTGTGCTACATAACTAAAAGTTACTTGAACAAGGGATTATTAATTTTAAAATGTTTGTTTTAAAAGCATATTAAAGTATTTTATTTAAATTTTCTGAGAGAGAGAGAGACAGACTTAAAAATAGCTAACTGTCCACAAAACTACCGGTGCCTATCAGTCACAGTCAGGCAACTGCTTAACCATCGCAACGAACAGTCCGTTCAGATTGAGACCACTTTTAGCCGATGTCTCCGCATATATGAGTTCATTATCTCTCACATACTTCTCGACCTCCAGTTCCCCCACAACACGACTGTCCACTAAATCCACTTTATTGCCCGCCAGTGCGATCATAATCTCGTGAGAGCACCGGCGCTTCAGCTCCGCCACCATAGCCTTTGCCGAGTTATACGTCTGAATTCTGTGTATTCATAGACTGTAATCAAAAAGTGTGGTATTCTTGCATTCATTTCAAATCTGAGAATTTACTGTTAGTTTTAGTCAAAAGTTTTAATTTGGAAAAATAGTTACACATATCGTGTGTTTAAAATGAAGAGTTTCTTAATTATAAGTAAGGCTTTACTTTTGAGTTATTTAACTATTTGTTGCGATAGCCAAGAACTTCATGAGATTAATTATGCATACGAATCATGTAATGAGGGTCATTTTAAGAGAGTTTTATTTTAACTATAAATAACTATTTGATGGGTTCGTAACTATTAGAAAATTTCAGGTTTTTGATGAAAATCAGTGAAATTTTACATTTTTAGAGCGGATTCTAATAGATTATGAGTTTATAATTTATTGAAAACTATAAATGTTTGTAATTAAATTTATTAAATAAATTTTCTTATATAAAAAATTAACAAATATAGAATAGGTACACATTCTTTGTAACATAGTAGAAAACCATATTTGTGTCTACATTTTGTGACAGTTTTCTGGTAATAATTGAATATTAAACACAATTTTTGATTTATAATACAATAATAAGCGATTATGCGCTTTAGTTTACTATTATTTAAGGTGTTTTTATGAAATATAATTGAAAAAAGTAAAAATATACATAGTTTTGGTGAAAAATAAATAACTATTTAGAGAAAGCAATGATTGAGTCGTTGAGTGAATATTTGGTGTCCGAAGAGGTCCTCAATTCTCGCTTAAGACGACTCATTGACTTAAAAGTTTTCACATCATTTGACTCATTTGACATCAAAGTAATCCACATCAGCGTTATCGTATTCATTGATGTCAATATTGTCTAAATTGTAGCCAATCCTCCGCATACAGTTATCAACTTTGCGAAAGTTTTTGGCCATCACTTCAAACAACAGATTATCCGTCGATGTGTTGATCTTATTCAACACCTTCTGGTCTTTGGCTAAGATTTCGGTGTAATTCTTGTCAAAGAACTCCTCCATGTATGCCTTCAGTTTAATCAACCGGTAACCGAAAACCATTTTCGGTGAAACCATTTTCGATACCACTTTCATGTTATCCATGGTTAACATAGACATCAAGTGCTGTTCACAGTTCTCAAACAGTCGATCCAATTGATATCTGTCGGCGAGTGTGAGGACATCACCGATGAGTCCTATGTCGTTGTCGTCATTGAACGCCAGGAGCTCGGTGTATAGGAATTTAAGCATTATTTTGAAGGCTTTATAAGTGGTGTCTTCAATGACCACTTCCTTCGCAGTGGACTCCCGGAAATTTCTCGGCATTTCTCGGTATTTCTCGGAAAACATGGCCCTAAAGACCTCACTCCTGAGTTCCATCATGAATTTGCGGGCCGGGAGTCTCTGTTCCTCCACTATGAATACCACATCACTCTCCAACTCGTTTAAGAAGTAATGCATTTCCGGATATTTGGCTGTCTTTTCGGTCGACATTGGGTTTGCCTACAAATCAGTGAAAGTTAATTAAAAAGTGAATAAATATATAAAAATACAAACCATTGCTCTTTGAAAACAGTTTACTTTAAGTGATGTTAACAAATAAGTTGTAAAACGTTTGCGTGAATGGATTGAGTGATGAATGCAATGCAAGTCTATGTGTTTTGCAATACAAATGCAATCGCTGTTTAACTACGTTGGCGCCAACTCTTGAGACCAAATGTTATGATAGTTCGCCAGTAAAGACCGGTTCTCATCGACTGTTTACATGACTTTATGAGACAATTGCCTCGATTCTGGAGGTATTAAGGTTTGCAGAATTTGTGTTCAATATATGGATTTAATGATGAGATGACAATATGTGCTGTGAAGCCATAAACATATTGCACAAATCAATGGACGTGTATAATAGCGCACGAATAGGCAGGAGGTATTAAGGTTTGCAGAATTTGTGTTCAATATATGGATTTAATGATGAGATGACAATATGTGCTGTGAAGCCATAAACATATTGCACAAATCAATGGACGTGTATAATAGCGCACGAATAGGCTGTCCTGGCTAAACATTACTCTATAACTAGAGATAAAATTCTGTGTATTCATAGACTGTAATCAAAAAGTGTGGTATTCTTGCATTCATTTCAAATCTGAGAATTTACTGTTAGTTTTAGTCAAAAGTTTTAATTTGGAAAAATAGTTACACATATCGTGTGTTCAAAATGAAGAGTTTCTTAATTATAAGTTTTGTATTGTATTATACATTGAGATTCAATGGATGAGTGAATGGTTTTAACAGTGATTTCGCAAAAATAGAGAATCTCTTAACGCGAGAGAAAGCAATGATTGAGTCGTTGAGTGAATATTTGGTGTCCGAAGAGGTCCTCAATTCTCGCTTAAGACGACTGACAGACAACTCGTTGAGTTTGAACTGAATTGCACTGAAAGAGGACACCGATGGCTCACTTTTAGAACACCCACTCGACGTATATCTCCTCATCAGACGAATGGCTATCGACTGGAAAAAAGTGAACGATTTGTTGCGAACCAAAGGCCAGCGCTTAAGTGATGTCCAAATGAGACAAATCGGTGATCACTCTAACCATACAAATGCATTGAATGTCACGTTTGACTCGCAGTTTGTGTCCAGTAGTCATGATATTATCACTAATAAGGAGCTAAAAGGTATTGAAAAAAGTTTTAGTTCATAATAAAGATGTTAATGAAAATGATTGACAACTTGTGGACAGACTAAGTCTCGTCAATACCTATGATTTGGATATCAAGTCATTAGCGAATGGATTCATTAGATCTAAGAGCAGTTCCGGTGCTGAAGTGATTGCAAATGAAAATCAATCTAATATTGGTTTAAATGCTTTCAACTGCTATTTGATTGGAAAACAAACGTTTGATAACAAGGAGTACTCAATGGTTGACAGAAGCGATCGATAGATTGGATGACATGACCAGCGATGAGATAATTGCAGAGATTTTTAATTACCTGTCGTTTTGTGAACTGAAAATCGGAAAACAAGTGAAGCCCACAAATATAAGAGACCGCTATAAAGCCAGACATCGAGACAAATGAGTTGATATCAGAGATCAACGTGTTTAATGACACGAATACCACTTCTTCTCGTCTCAAAGAACCAATTTATCGTTCGTTTCATTCGGCAAATGTATACCAATTATGTCGCGGAGAAAGACTTCTGAATGACTCGATTGTCTCGAAACTCAAGTGTTTTCACTTAAACACAACGAAAACATCGTTTTTACGGTTGACTCGCATTCAAGTGGAAGAGATATACAAAAGTCCGCAAATCCTTGTAATCCATGAATTGCTGTCAGAATACGAGACACAAACCATCATCTCTTTGGCTCAGCCATCATTAGAAAGGCTATACGTTTTTGGAGACGATGGTAAAAGGAATGTCAACGGTGGTAATAGACGACTGGCCCAGGGTAGTATTATTTGGGACAGACAGCACAAATATGCAGATGCAATATTAGAAAGTCTGCAGATGTAGTCAAACCTGCGGTCATTTCCAATGAGACAACACTACCAGTGGTGGCGCCTACTCTTGAAACCACTCCTGAATCGCAAAAGTCTTCAGTTGAACCGACTTCTGGATCTCAATCGGTGCCCAACGAAGACAATCAGAATTGAATGTTTAGATTCTGTCTAATGCTATAAATTCTCATTCATTACAATACAATATATTTATAACTTATTTCTCTCTATTTACGGAATATTCTATGCCTTATGTATAAAATTAATTCATTTTTTTATTCAAAACTTAAAAATAAATCAAATATCTGTATAAATATGTCATTTACTGATAACTCAAATAATAAAATGCTTGAAATGAAAGTGCAATCAAATGATGGCTATAATAGGCTATAATTTCTGAGATTTATTTATTCCGTAAAAAATAAGATTTATTATACCAGAGAGGAGTCGTTATAATAGCAAACAGTTATCTCTCAGAGACTCTCATCCTTTAAGACTAAATAACCCTTTGCTTAGCGATCGCTATCCTAACTGTAATATAAATTAAGCCGTGAAGGGAGGAGGAGATGGTTTACATTCAACCATATCTTTACTGTATGTCTGAGACAGCCTGAGATATATACATCTAATACTGTATTTCAACACTAATTTCCATCACATCCTATGTCTTCACAATTTGCTCGCAGTAATTAATTCAAGAAAAAACCAATTTCATTTTAAATTCAATTTATACTCTATGGAAGTGAAGTTCAATTTCTATACAACAAAAAAAGAGATAAAGTTCTGTTAGTTTGTTGTAAATATAAAGTGCTTTCCGTTTGTTATATTAATATAAGTTTTGAGCATTTTGTGAGTCGGATCTGAGAGAGAGAGAGAGAGAGAGATAGATCCACAAAAAAAGAGATAAAGTTCTGTTAGTTTGTTGTAAATATAAAGTGCTTTCCGTTTGTTATATTAATATAAGTTTTGAGCATTTTGTGAGTCGGAAGACTCTCTCTCTCTCTCTCTCTCTATCTAGGTCAATATGACTTGAGAACTTTATATAACTCTGTATTACAACATTAATTAATACTAAAATAATTATTATACACGTATTTTTGATATTTTGTTTTCCTTTTTGCGTCACAAAACCACAGTATTGTGTGTTGAAGTCAATTAGGACTATGACTCTAAATATAGTGTTGTTTCGGTGAAATATATGTATAAATATATAAGTTATACATTGTATTCAAATGCGGCGATAAATATTAAATATACATAACGTTTGAGCGAAGCATCGATTGTTTGGATGCTATCGTTGTTTGAATAAAAACTTTTTTTGTGTGCATTTTGTATATTAGTTACGCTCTCATGAACTGCAAAGTTCATTGCAAAAAGTGCCATTCATATTTCATTAGTGAATATAATGATAATTGTTATAGTACAATATATGATATACTCTTAATTAGAAATATAATAAAAAGTTATCACTGGAATACATAATATAATATTATAGTGTAGTGGAATTATACTGGTGTACAAAATTTAATTATAGTATCACTAACTTCTCGGGTAAGGGATGCTAAGCGCTTACACACAGAATGCTTAAAGTGGCGAAAAATTATTTACTTTTGACTTAATTTAATTCAATTCTCATCTGACATGACATACAATGTTATTAGTGCCGTATTTGTAGCACATATTCCGCACTTTTCAATGCATTTAAGTGGACAAATTTTGTTTTAGTGGTGTGTATATAAGTTACTAATATAACAGTACTTTAAAATTCTAATTAATATATTTTATGAATTCATTTATTCGGTTAATTGTATTTTAATCTCTTTGCTATCATATATAAAAATATATAGAAATGAGAACTCCTTTGCCATTGAGATTACCGTATATTCCTATGTATAAGGAATTAATTTTCGCGCACACAGTATGACATTTCTGTAGCAAAAAAAGCTATTTTAATGTTTGAAAAAAGTTTATTTCTCTCCCTTTTCGAGAGAAGTCTATGAACTTTACGGAAGCTTTTCAGTCCCGTATATAATATGTCCAAAAAAATCAAATTTCTTCATTTTCTTTGTTATTAAACCGTGTATAAAGAATTATAGCTTTAGATAAGTAAATGTAATAACAGTTTTATTTCATAATATAATTTGTGTCTCTCTCCGATAAAATTGTATATTTTGTTTAATTCATTTTTCACAACATTCATTCCCATTTATAGTAATTAATCATTACTAATGATTTTAAATATAGACAATTTATTCAGACAATTTCGTATAGCCATTTCAACCAATTTCTAGCCCATTTTGCGCAAACCATCTACAGAAAGTTATGCGAGATTTCTAGCATTTTTACCATAATTTATATGACTTCTTGTTTTATAGAAAATTTAAAATAATATATATAATTATATAATGACTGCATATACTGTTGAACGGCAATTAAAACCACAGAAATATATATAATTTTATTTGTTTTTAATAATAATTTGCTGTGTTTTGTTGTTGTTTGTTTGTATCAGGGAAAACGAGTTTGCTATATTCATGAGATTAAAAACCAATAAAACAAATTGTCGATCTGTTTAATGATTTGGTTACCAATCAATCATAAAATCAGTGATAAGACTGAGAAAATCAAAAAACTAAAAATGCAAACAAACCTCAAACAAGCGACTCGTTTATTATTCTTGCAATGAATTTTTGATTCAATAATTTAAGTGTTTATCTAATTTAGTGTTTAATAAGTGTTGAGAATATTACTAAATGGGATAATAATAAGTATGCAGTTAATGCACTCAACACTTGTATAAGACTTATCATTATTTATTAATATATTATAATATATTATCATATGTATATGATATAAAATCCTTTGAAATGGTAAACTTAAAACATATAGAAATGTATATTTACTGTATTTCCCTTTTCCCTGCATTACACCACTTTTTCTCCATCTCTCACTATAAAATCACAATTTAATTCAACTCTAATCCAAACCATGAATTTGTGTCTGAATTACAATATTTAGGGCTAAGACTCATAAATTGACGAAAATGTTTGAGAAACGACTGAATAATTAGTGGATTCTCTTCATTGAACTCCATGAATTATCTAAACGTGAATTTTAATGAAATATACAGTATAATATAATATACTGTATATTGCTGTTTGACAAAATTAGTCTCAGTTTATTAGATATTGTGTATAAAATACAATATTCCCATTAAAAAAATTCAGACACCGATAGCCTAACCGATATGATAAATTTGTTTTCAGGTACAAGTTTTATATAATAAAACATAGATAAGTCTTATAATAACTTAATTTAGTTCAATTAGTCATTAAACCCCGTTATAATAATCGTTGAAAATGCGTGTAAAGTTTCATAATATGGGATAATAAAGAGTTTTGTGATTATATTATGTGAGAGAAGGCAATGAGTTATATATTGTGTTAGTTGTCAAGAGGTTGGCAATTGAGTTGTGTCGCCAGTCTTAAGGACAGGCGTGTGATTATATGCCTTTGGGATCATCAGTCGAGCCATTAATTGTGTCGGTACTGACGGTAGGAGTGCTCAAGAGCTTAGTGGTGGTGGTAATGAAGAAATCCCTAATGAAACGGTGTTTTTGAGACACAATCGCTAATCTAATGATAAGATAGGGCGACTATACTACTCATATAACATGTATATACCTTACCATTCATTAGGTAACTCAGACTTTCCGACTATTTCGCTAAACAATACGTTTTTTCTCAACCATATAATACATTTTGTTAAAAACCATTTTACACATAGCGTATGAATTTTGAATTTATTTTTCGTATATATTATATATATATTCTGTAATTCAATACAATTCTGGACACTCTATTAGAAAGTTGTTTAGTTGCCAAGCGTTTACTCTTATCGATAAATATTAAAAGCAAATATAAGTTTTGTTTTTTTGGTGTTGTTTTTGCGCTCATATTTATATTTCCATTTAGTATTTGTCGGCGTTTTTGCGCTAATATTATAAATTATGATTTCTAATTAATCTCGCAAAATACTATGTACTCTCGTTTTCGCACATAAATGTATAGATTTATATTTTTCTCTCAATGAGTCGATAAACAGTTTGCCCACAAAAAGGCTTTATTTGTCGATAGAAAATAGTTT